TCCCCTTTCCTCCACCTACCCCTTCACTGTGCTTCGCTACCTGGGCACCTCGCAAGATGTGGAAGACGTTAAGTTTGTGATAAACTACGACTATCCGAACAGCTCTGAGGATTATGTGCACCGAATCGGCCGCACTGCCCGTAGCACCAACAAGGGCACTGCCTACACCTTCTTCACGCCGGGGAACCTGAAACAGGCCAGGGAGCTGATCAAAGTGTTGGAGGAAGCCAACCAGGCCATCAATCCAAAACTGATGCAGCTTGTGGACCACAGAGGAGGAGGAAGTGGTGGTGGAGGTAAAGGCAAATGGGAAGGGGTTAGAAAGATGGAATAGGTGCTCCATCTTGAAGGAGGATAGGTGTAAAGAGGCAGAGCAAAACACCTTAATTAAACCATCTCAACATCAGACTGCTGCTGTCTTGCTTATTATATGTAAACTTATAGTAATAAATATTTTATTTACTAATTTTTATTAGTAAAATAATATAAAACCTATTAATTTGGGGCATACATACCCAACTTAGGGTCCTTTTAGCTAACTGAAGGAGGGTGTTCAGTGTTTTAATCATAGCCATAGGATTTATTTCCCCAAACAGTGTCCTGCAGAGAACTGCCTCTGGGTGAATCGGTAAAGTAGTTATATTTCTTGCAGCCATGTCCTGCTTCCCACCTAATCGGACCACAGTCAGTAATCTGATACTCCCCCTTCTTACTGGGTGGAGTGCTGCCTCCCAGCCCACAAGGAAACAAATGAAATTTGACCCAGTCCGTTTTAAGTCAGTGCTATATTTCTTCCAGTGTGTTTCTGTTCTGCTCTCTCTCATATCTTGGGGTAGATCATGATACAGGTTTTGAATTTGGTATCCACAGCTTGGATAAAAAGAGGGTCCATGGCAAAGTTGTGCAGGAATATTTTGCGACCCAGTCAATTGAAAATGTTATGGCTTCTGGCCCTATTGTCATGGAACTGTTGACTTTAGTGGTGAGGGAGTAATTAAAACTATTGTGAGAATTCAGTGCTTTACATACCTTCTTATGTGAGTTATCCACAGTACTGAACCCCACTGTATTCACTACCAGGAGGTCGTTCTCGTTACCGTACTGCTGCCAGTTCAGCCAACAATCCTAACCTGATGTACCAGGATGAGTGTGAACGGAGGCTCCGGGGAGTAAAAGATGGCCGGAGAGACCGTGACCGTGGCGACAGTTTTGCCAATGGAGCCAACAAAACCTATGGCAGTGCTTATGGAAGTCCGAATTCCGCCTTTGGGGCGCAGCAGAGCCAATATGGCTATGCCCAAGGGAGCTATGGAGCAGCTGCCTATGGCACAAGTGGTTATGGCACTGCAGAATACAATGCTAGTGGCTATGCTGCCGCTAGCACTGCCACCGCTGGGAGAACCGCTCAAACCGCCACCCAACCGCAGTATGCAGGGATAGCTCGGTCAGGCCAGCAGCCTCAGCCTCTCATGTCACAACAATTTCCTCAGCCTCCGGCCACTAACATGATAGGCTATATGGGACAGACTGCCACATACCAGTATCCACCACCTCCCCCACCCCCTCCTCCTTCACGCAAATGAGACCACTTGGCTGCTGGTGACCAGTCTAGACCTCTTGCATTTAAAGGAACTTTTCTTTCTTTCTTTTTTTCCCCACTGTGTTGTCTTTCTCATGCAGGTTAGATTTAGCATTCATCATCCCAATTCCTCCTTCCCACCAAAAATGGACCCCCAGTCCACAATTACTTATCTTGTGGGTTTTTAACTATATATACACATATATATATATATATATACACACACAACCACAATTGACTGGAATTTTATTTTTGATTTTTTTTTTCTCTTGCATGTTGAGGAGATTGGGGCAACTTTTTTTTATTTTCTCTTAAAATAGGTATAAGGCAGATAGGTCCCAGCCCAATCCTTTTGGTGAGGTTCGTGTGTGAAAACTTACTGCAGAGCTGAGAAGGCCTCTCTGCTATAACATGCTAACTGAATTTCGGGAGGTATTGAGAGGTGGGGAATTCTGGGGAGTCAAGGCACGCTTCCTTTAACGTAATAAATCCAAGGGAGCAGTGCTCATTTGTTTTCTAGATCTGAGGTGTGGTTTTTTTTTTTTTTTTTTTTTAATATAACTGAATATTGATGCTTGTACTCTGGCATAAGTAAACTTCTAAGGAAAACTCTGCTTGTTTGGCTCAGTTTGGAGGGATTCTGAGTGTTGCCCCACAAATAAAGTGTAAAACTGTTCTGGTTGGCATTTTTGCAGCTTCTGTTGCAGCAGCCTTCCTTCTGAAGTAACTTCTATGATGTGTGGTAAGGAGAAGGGAAATAAAGCCCCGGTGTCAGAGACCAGAAACGTGTTTCCATTTGGTGACTCAAACCCCAAATCTAATCACTGTAAGAACTTCTGTTGTTAAAATATAACATCTATTTGAAATACTTACCACTGAAGTTCTTTCCCAATGATCGTTAAATTGCAGGAATGGATGGAATCTGCAGATGGATGGAATCTGGTTACTGACTTCTGAAATCAACTTCTGAAATCAACTTCTGCCCTCAAATTCCCATTGCTGGGGTCACTAAGATAACTATTCAGTAGAAGGCACAGAAACACTGACCAGAATTAAGATGATATTCAGTACTGTTTGTGTATATTCTTAGTGAGCAAAGCACCTGGTCATGGGGAGTGTTCAGAGTGCCACTGTGCTGAGTGAAATGTAGCAAAGTTTTCCCACTTAAAACTTAATGTGATTTGGTGTGGGGCAGGGGAGGTGCAACTGGAAACCCCTCTTCATGAGGTGAGGAGAGAGCTGGTTAGTGTCCTGATTCTGAAGCTGCTTTTCCTTCATACCTTGGACTGCCTAGTGCTTTCCCTGGCATTTCCCCAGCCCCAGCAGTCCCTTTTGAGATCAGCTCTTGCAGGTAGGTAGCATTCTAGGAAATGTTAGAAAAAAGTGGAAATTTAGTAAACATTTTAATTCAATCTTGTTTATTCTACAGGCCAAGGTAGGTGTGGGGGTTTTCCCCTTTAAATAGTAAAGTGTGTCTACTTTGTGATTGCCATGAGCAGGCGGTTCTGGGGCAGTAGATCATAGAGAGAGTTGGCTGCTCTTGTGTTCGGATAACTTGGCAGGAAATCAGAGCCATATACCGATTTTGCGAGGCATAATCCTTGCGTTACAAGAGTTTGTTGTGATTTTATTTTCTATTGGGGGAGTCTGTAGTAGTCACAAACAAAGCATCTCAACCCTTCTGAAAGGCAGCCCAATCCTTCGGTAGGAGAGCAGAACATTTGATAGCCCCAGGAGAGAGAGCTTGCTTAAAAAAAGCTTTTTTTTAAAGACCTCTTCCCCTTAGGGCTTAGTGTGAAGGGTGGGATGAATATATGGTTTGTGTGCAGCATACAGGTAGGTTATCAGCACAATCTCAGGGGGACAGCTAACTTTCCCTTAACACCCCCATCTTTCTTAAGTTGAGGCTATTTTAAAAATTAACTAGTACTTTGGCAAGAAATTTTTGTGCTTGTGTGTTTAAATGATGGCCACAAATGAACTCTTACTGTCCCAGCACTGACTGATCTGTTGTCTTTTATCTCCCCCACAAGCAAGCGTGGAGCTATTCTTCATTTGTGAGTTTCTGTGGGCGTGGAAGGGCGTGGGGTGGGACACACTGCCTGGCTGGCTTTACAAAGGGTCTCTGGAAAGCCAAAACTGCCTTGTGGTGTGCTGTAGCTTTCACTTCTTCCTTCAGGGACTTGGGTAGATGTAAAACAGTTATGCTGAGGTCTTGCAATGCTTTATTGTAACTTGATGTCAGCTGCAGTCCAGTCTCTCACATGCCCAATCTTGAATGTTAATTTGATTGTTGAATGCACAGTAGCATGTGCTGCCCCGTCTCACCTGGTGCTTGCTGTTCTGTTCCATATACCAGCTGAAGAGCCCTTGTTGATACAGTGTTAACATCTATTAATGTTTGCATTGTTCTCAATCTGTAAATGTTTGTGGGAGTGTCAAATGAGTCTGGCATCTCCTCCCTTCCCACTTCCTGAAACAACTTACTGTGTGGATTTCTCTCAACAACTGAAGGGTTAGTGGCTTTTGTGGGGGATCAGTGCTCTGTTTCACACCTTTGCTGGTCTCTGGACACATTCCTGTTGTATTAACGAAGACTTGAATTGAGAGATTCATAAACTTGTGATGTTCAGACAGGATGCTAAGAGCTATGTTACTATTCTTAGTTTGTAAATTGTCCTTTTGATACCATCTTGTTTTCTTTTGTAGGTATAAATAAAAACACTGTTGTCAATAAAATGTAAGCATTTGTTTTTGTTTCCAGACTGTAAATGGTTTTTACCCCCATTCTCCACTTACCCCCTGTGGGGGGCGACAACTCACCCTCCCAGACCCCAGTGCCCTTTGCCCAGGGGTTCTGCCTACCGCAGTACCCCCTCCCTCTGGGTCTCCCCTCCCAGGGGAACCTCCAACCCTCTAAACCCACCTTGCCTCAGTGGCTACTGCCAGTCATCATCTAGCCCCTGTTTCCTGGGGCAGACGGCAGTCTGTAAACCACTTATCGGCAAGGGGGGTTGGACCAGCTGCCTTTGCCTATCCCTGGGCTGCCCCTCTGCAGCCCTAGTACCCTTTTGTGGGCCCTCAACTCGGTCTGCAGCCTGGGGCTTAACTAGGCTGGAGCTCCCCAGCTACCTCTGCCCTTCCCCAGCACTGCTCCACCCTAGGTACCCTCAGCTTCCCAGGCAGCCAGGTCCTTCTCTCTCTAGAAGCTAGAGAGAGAGTGTCCTTGTCTGGCCCTCAGCTCTCTTATAGTGCCAGCTGTGGCCTGATTGGGGCGTGGCCCCGCCTGTGGCTGCTTCCCCCAATCAGCCTAGCCTTTTTCCAGCCACACTCCTCTCCCAGGGCTGTTTTAAACCCTTCAGGGCAGCACCCCGCTACACCCCCATTTTATATAACAAAATAATCCAGGGAATAGTCATGACTGTCAGCAACCAAATATATTTTAATAAAAATGCTATCAGTAGAACATCAGGGACTGGTAGAAAGGAGTTGAGTAGAGCAGAATGTTTGAATATTTACAATATCGAAAGGTCTTCAGATATAATCCTTGCCATTTTAATGGAAAGATGTTCCCTTAAAAATATTACAGGGCCTGGATAGACTGGGATATGGGGAATTGCACCTCTTTGATTACCAGTTCATATTGGCTTAAGTGGCAGTAATCACATGGCTGCAAGACCACTGCAAACAAATGACAGTAATTGTAAGTGGTCTGTCTGCCACTTATGAAATCGACCGGTGGTTTTTGGTGTTTTGGGTACCTGTTTGCTAAGAACTGAGCAACAGTTTTACAGCTGGCAGTCTTTGAAAGACTAAAAAATAGGCTGTGGAAACCAAACTTTTCACTCCTTGAGGTGATCCCTTAGGGTCAGGTTTAAGGCAGATTTTGGAACTGGGTGGGGGGAGGAAAAGAGAGAATAAAGCTTGCACTTCTGTATCTTCTATGAGAATAGAGGACTTCAGTCACTAGCCAGAACCATTCACCAGTACAAAATTCACTTAAGCAAAAACACTAGCACACATTTAAGGAAAAGCCCTACGCAGATCAAGAGCTTATCAGCCATCCAAGCCACACTGTATTACTGGTGCTGAGTTGAGATTCTTAGCTGAGCCATTTTTGTCAATGTGGGGCAGAAGAAGAAAGCTGTGATCCTGTAACTGCATCTGCAGGAACTTCTTGTGTGGTGCTGTTTTCAGACGGGCATTGGGAGACTTAGCTTCTTTCCCTTCAGGACTGTGCAAGGAAGAGGAAGAAAGCATCGTGAATGAAACTTGAGGAAAGTCACTGTTTCACTTCCCCAGTAAAGTCTCTGTGCCTGCTCTCTAAAGCGTAACACTGTCATCTGCAAGGTTAACAGCTCACAACTAATTAGAATGGATGTCACCAGGGGATTATTGGCAGCAGAGGCATGCCAGGGAGAGAGAGAGTTACTTTTAAGCCTCACATGACTTTAGTGCAGGTAGAGCATCCTTAACACCACCTTGTTCCTTATTCACTAGGACAGCTCTAGAGCCTGCTTATCTTCAAGAGCCAAACGCCTTGTCCTGAGTTTAGTGCCATATGCTAACAACACCAGAGGATACAACCTGTATTGCCAAGTTCTTGGATGTCACCCTCTCTAAGGGTCTTGAAGAACTGTGCAGGCTTAGTGGGATTAATGTGTGCAAAACAGGAGCTTTGGGAAGAGGGAGACATTCATATTCAGTTTTTGGTTGAAAACAGCTGCTGCAACATGGGCAGGGGGCCCTAGAAATGGAGGAATGCTCTTCATGAAAATGAGTCATTCTGAATTAACCTTATCTCCGTCTTTCATAGCCATCTGTGTCGTGTGGATTCGCTCTCTTCACTTATGAAATCCTTAATTTTTCTCAATTAGTGTAAATCCGTGCAATACGTGGTCAGGGATCAAACTTTGGACCACTGAGTGGTGCTACTGGGACTGTAGCCTGAACTCTACCAAAAAGCGTGTATGTCTGCTAAGTATTTCACAACTTGCTGCTAAATGTGCAGCATCAGTTTGTTTGGGTTTGCCATCTCATTCTTGAGTTGGACAATGAAACTGGACTATTGTGGCTGGCTATCCTCCACTCAAGGTACAAGTGTGGTGATAACATATATTAAAGGGAGAGCTGGTGCTGACACTTTATAAAGGAAAGTGTTAGGCAACCTTCACGAAGACCCTGTTTTCAGAAGTTTCCAAAACTAATCATTCAAGCTAGAGGTTCCCATGCCTTAGGCTGACTTTTGGGAAAGTGTCAGTGAAAACACTTCAGACATTTCTGAAAATGAGATTTGGAGAAAGTGCATTGTTTTGCCCATGTTTAATTTAAAACAAATTCTTGCAGCTGTTTCATTGAGAATCTCTACTGTCTCCATGCTTTGGTGCAGGGACTTGAAAATTGGCAAAGGCAGTGGTTGCCTTTGTATAAGGGATGTGCTTTTTGCTGTTTCCATGAAAATCCACCCACATTTGACTCAATTTGTGGGAAAATCTGTCTGCATATGCTCTGTAGAGACTTGGTAAGAGTTTTACAGTTAAACTCTCTGAAGATTCAGTCTACTGAGCATTCCTCAGGAGTTGGGCAGGACCTTCCCTGCAATTAAAAGTTGTGGGGAGCTGTTTCTGCACTGAGATATGGGAGACTGTCTCTTAGGGCAAGTCTATACTTAAAATGCTGTCGCGGTGCAGCTGTGTTGCTGTAGTGCTTCAGTGAAGATGTACGCCAGCATAGTTAATCCACCTCCGCAAGAGGCAGTAGCTATGTCGACAGGAAAAGCCCTCCTATCGACATAGTGCTGCGTACACCATGGGTTGGGTTTGTGTAACTGCGTTGCTTAAAGGGGTGGATTTTTCACAAATCTGAGCGACCTAGTTATACCCATGTAAGTTGATAGTGTAGACCTGGTCTTATGCTTTTGTATTTCCTTTGCTGATACCTGAGCAGTGTGGAGAAGAAGAAACAGCCTGATTGAAACAGAGGGTGGAGGAATCAAGGCAGGGGGGCAGAGACTGCAGTAGGGAACAGAGAGGCTGTAACGGAACAGGCAGAAGGAGGGGATGGTGAAAAAGGGGTCTGAAACCACTGAATACACTCTTCCAAAGCCTAGAATGGAACCTACAGTTGGAGAGTTTCAACATTCCTCTGCTGTTCAACAAATGGCTGGCAATGTGTCTCATCCCTCTCTAGTGGCTTGCCCTCATAAAATGACAAGAGGCAGCATTTGCTGTGGATTTAAAGGTCTCTCCCTTGCTGATGACATGGGGGGGGTTTCAACATGGTTCCATATAAATTTCCCCCCCAAAACCTAGGAAACTACACAGTGAGGTTGCAAAGTCAAGCACTCAAAAGTTAAGAAATACCCGAATTAGAGTTCTCTATACAACTTTAATTTGGCCACCTTGTATATATGCATTATGTGATGGTCTTTAATTACATGATCACAGAGGGGGGTTCTTTTTCCACAGGACCCCTGCCTCAGTACACAGGATAAACCTACTCTGGGGAGGAACCAGGATTGTGAAGGAGGCTGTGGGCTTGCAGGACCCCGCCTCATTTGTTGCAGTACTTGGAAGGTACATGATAAATGAGGCAAGAAACTTGAGCAAGAGAAAGGATGGTCTTCTGGTTTAGGCAGTTAAGTGACACCTGGATAGTTGGATTCTATCCCTGCCTCTGCCAGAGTTCCTATATGATGTCTGGCAGGTCACTTAAACTGCATTTCAGGTGGCCACTGTTTGTGTTTCTCATTGTCTGCCCAGCTTGAGACCTTTGGTTCTGATTTGCAAAAGTATTCATCATTCACAACTCCACTAGCTCTGTTCTATAAAAATGCAGAGTCCTTTAAAAACTCAGGCCAGAAGTATCTCTGTATAGGAACCCAACATTAGTGGACATGTAACAATTTTGGCCTTAATCTTTCTGTGCCTCATTTTCCCCATGTTTGAAATGGAGATACTTGCCCCCCTCATAGGGGAGTTGAAGATAATGTTTGTGAAGCACTTAAATATTGCAGTGATGAACACCATAGAAAAGTCCACAAGGACAGTAATTGTATATGCAGAGCAGGATTTGGACAAAGTACAGCAGTGGTCACCAACCAGTTGATCGTGATTGACGGATCGATCCTGGAGCCTCTGACAGTCGATCGCTAAAAGTCTGGCGGCACCATGGGGCTAAGGCAGGCTCCCTGCCTGCCCTGGCCCCATGCTGTCCCGGAAGCACCACCCCCACAGCTCCCATTGGCCGGGAATGGGGAACTGCGGCCAATGGGAGCTGCAGGGGCAGTGCTTGTAGGCAGGAGCAGCGTGTGGAGCCATGTGCCCCCTCCCCATGGTTGGCTGCTTCTGGGAGCAGTGTGGGGCCAGGGTGGGCAGGGAGCCGGCCGTAGCCCCACTGCACCATTGACTGAGAGCTGCTGGAGGTAAGTGCTGCCTGGTGGGAGCCCACACCCCAGCCCTGAATCCCCTCCCAGAGCCAGTACCCCAAACCCCCTCCTGCACCCCAATCCCCTGCCCCAGCCCTGAACCCCCTCCCAGAGCCAGCACCTCAAGCCCCCTCCTGCACCCCAAACCCCAGCCCTGAGCCCCCTCCCAGAGCCCGCACTCCACACCCCCTCCTGCACTCCAACACTCTGCCCCAGCCCGGAGTCCTGTCCTGTATCCAACCTCCCTCCTAGAGCTTCCACTCCTCACCCTCTCTTATACCCCAACCCCTTGCCCCGGGCTCAGCCTGGAGCCCCCTCCCACATTCCAAACCCCTTGGCTCCAGCCCAGAGCCCACACCCTAACCCCCTGCCCCAGACCAGTGAAAGTGAGGGAGGGTGGTGGAGAGCGAGCGATGGAGGGAGGGGGAAATGGAGAGGGTGGGGCAGGGCCTTGGGGAAGGGCTAGGGCCTCGGGGAAGGGGCAGGGTAGATCCTGGGTTGCACTTTGAATTTAAGTTATTTTGTGCATAAAAAGGTTGGAGACCACTGATGTACTGTAAATAGGACCTGGAACCACATACTGAATGAGGAGGAGCAAACAAAATAGTGAATAGCTTCTCTTTCAATGAGCACTATCCCTCCTTTTGCACTGACTGAGGGAGAGGCCCTACATTGGGGGGGATGGAGCATGTGATCATGTAATTAAAGACTGTCGCAATGAATTTGCACAAGGGGGTTGAATTAGGTTACACAAGCAAACTTCATTCTGGCATTTCTGATTTTTTTGGGTGCTTGACTTTGCAACCATAATGTTTTAAATATTGTTTTGTATGTAACTGTAGCCCTTGCATCCGACATGCATCCGATGAAGTGGGTATTCACCCACGAAAGCTTATGCTCCAATACATCTGTTAGTCTTAAAGGTGCCACAGGACTCTCTGTTGCTGTATCCCTTGAAAGACTGAAAGTCTGAAGAGGGGTGAAAACAAATGCAGTCTGCTACAGTATCTCTTGTTTTAAGGGTAGTTATGAAGATGGTCAAATGCCTAGCTTCCATCCCCACCCTAACCTGCTTATGGAGGTGAGCCAAATATACCCCTTCTCTTCCTGCTTTCACCCTCAGTCCAGCTCCCTACCTACCTTTAGTGACGTAGAGATAGAAGAAATCACAGTAGAAGATGGTCTGTACCACCCCAGAAACCACGGCAATCTGGTCATAGAAATTCTCTGTGTGGTAGCGCCAGATCCAGTTGGCAAGGTAGAGCGCACGATAGAGACCCAGGAAGAAGAGGTAGTGGGTCGTGATGGTCTCTGCCTCCCCTGTCTTACTGATCATGAAGAGCTGAGGAAGGATGGCCACTGATTCCAGGTAGATGGAGAAGGTCCAGAGGATCTGTGGGAAGAGGGAAACAATTCAGAGGAGAATCTTACTGGCCCATTAATTTCAGTAGCCTTTAAAGGCTTCATTCTGGAATCAGAGCCTGTTGTGCTGATGCACGGTACAAACTGTCCCTGCCCCAAAGAGCTTTCAACCTATTCTAAGGCCAGAAGTAACAAGTAAGCATAGCAAATAATAGGGGGAAAGGGGAGGATGAGGGTAACAGTGCTACTCTGTTTGCGTAGGCTGACAATGCCCAATTTGATGGTTCTAAATCATTTAGATCTTCGGGTGGGAGAAGGAGAGTGTTTAAATACATAACTCAGCTGTTCCTACTGGCCCTTTACCTAATCAGACGTGCCCTGTTGAATGCAGGTGCCAGTCTCATTTCATTTCTTTGTGAAGTGGGGAGGCTCAATCCTGAAAACCACTATACTCATTGGTTTTGGTTGGTTTCCTTGTTAGTAATATTAGCTGAAAAGCCGAAGATTGAATTGAGTTATGAAGAATGAACCTTTAGGTGTAGCTCTTCCAGGTCAGGACTGAGGCATGAGTGAGGTGAGGCTGCAGAAACTTGAACAGCTGTTTGTCTTGTCTGTCAAAGAGTCTGTCTCCAAAGACTACCCGTCTGGCCCCTTTCTTCACAAAATTTACTTCCATGCTCTGCTGATCATCTAAATCCCAACTAGTTTCCACTAAGTGGTTATCACCTTCTTTTTTCCCCTCCCATCCCTTCAATTTTTGGACTTCCTTACCTCTAAGGGGGTAAAGCTGTGGTTCTCCAGAAATGACAAGCCTGTGACGGGGACCAAGAGGAATTCCAGACGGAAAGAGTCATGCTCTCTGTCAAATGTTTTCTGGAACTTCGCGTAGATCATATACACTGTGATGTAGGCGCACACCAAGAAAATGACCTGCAGAGGGGGGAAGTAGCAAAAAAGGTCTTTTGAAAGACATTTGTCTTGCATCCTATTGTCTTCTCCACTGAAAAGGGACTGGCTTGCTTGCTTGCCTAATTCAAGTCCTGCTTTTAAGCTGCTGGTGGTGGGGAAGTTAGTGCTCTGGACTGCCCTCTGGAAGACCCAGGATTGATTCCCATCTCTGCTGCTCTCCCTCCTGGGGATGCTGCAATGGCTGGGTCACATGACCGTAGGACAGAGGTGGGCAAACTATGGCCCGCAGGCCACATCCGGCCCGTGGGACCGTCCTGCCCGGCCCTTGAGCTCCCGGCCGGGGAGGCTAGCCCCCGGCCCCTCCCCTGCTGTTCCCCATCCCCCGCAGCCTCAGCTCGCCATGCCATCTGCACTCTGGGTGGCAGGGCTGCGAGCTCCTGCCGGGCAGCATGGTGGTGTTGCTGGCTCCAGCTGGGCAGAGCAGCTGCCAGTCTTGCTGCTCTGAGTGGCAGGGAGCGGGGGGGGGGGTTGGATTAGGGGCAGGGGGCTCCGGGGGACAGTCAGGGGACAGGGAGCAGGGGGCAGATGGATGCGGCAGAGGTTTGGAGGCGGGACAGTCAGGGGATGGGGAACGGGGGGGTTGGATAGGTGTGTGAATCCTGGGGGGCCTGTCAGGGTTGTGGATAGGGGTCGGGGCACTCAGGGGACCGGAAGCGGGGGGTTGGATGGGAGTGGAGTCCCAGGGGGGTGGTTGGGGGGGGTCCAGGGAGGGGGCAGTCAGGGGACAAGGAGCAGTGGGGGTTGGATGGTTCTGAAGGGGACAGTGAGGGGGTGGACAGGGGGCTGGGGCCAGGCTGTTTGGGGAGGCACAGCCTTCCCTACCCGGCCCTCCATACAGTTTCGGAACCCCGATGTGGCCCTCGGGCCAAAAAGTTTGCCCACCACTGCCCTAGGAGTTACTGCTCCTGTACTGCCATGTAGAAGACCCAGGTCTTTTCTCTTGCTACTTTTGTCTTGACAGGAGGTGTTGGTCCTGTGCCTACTGTGCAGGACACCCAGGTTTGAATCCCAGTCTCCTGCTTCTGGATTTGGTGGGCAGTGGAATCAGCTTGTTGGAGCTGCTGTGGTGAGTTGGCTGTTGTCGTTTGTCTCTGGTCAATGGAGGAATAGTAGATCTAAAGGACAGTTTTATCCCTCCCAGGCCAAAGGGAAGTTTACTGTAATTTTGGGGGTCTTGTAGAAAGCTCCCCGCAAAATTTAAAATCCCGATTTGGTGAATGTCTGTCATCACTTTCCCCAAGTAACTACAATGAGGAGCCTATGGGGTTGCCTGCAGTGGGGCTCCTGCAGCGTCTCCCTGCCGTTACCTTCATCACGGTGTTATAGAGTGAGATGAAGGTGGTGAACAGGTCAAGATAGCGGGTCGTGAAGACAAGAGTGAAAAGGATCTGGCTCTTCCCGGAGATACCTACACATCAGGGGAAGGAATGGGAGATAAGACAAGTAAGAGAGGAAAGGTTTGGAGACACACACAGCTATTGAAAACTCCACGTGCACATGCCCCCTCCTCTTGTGATCAAGGTATCTTCTCCTCTAAGTAACAGTTCAGGGCAAAAAATCCGTCAGCCTTGTTACCTGGTTCTGTTGTTGTGTTTGTAGGACAATAGCTGTTATACAAAGTGGGCATCAGCCCCTCCTTCAAGTGGGAAAGCAGCTACACGTGCAGTCAAATTAGTACACTGAACTAAAATGCAAAATTGATTTGGAAAGTAAATAGCTATTGGCATTAATATCCTACCAGACCCATGTCTTCCCTCTCTGCCTAACTAGCATGCTGAAGCTCATGTTTGGCTGAGCTGTGCATGGCCCAGTAACTGGCCACTTTGCCCTGAGCTATATCTTCCCTGAACTAGGGGAGTGCTCAGTGCATCATTAACCACCCTGTGCTAGATCAAAGCAGTGCAGGGGGTGAGTTACACTGAATACATAGGAAGAAGAGATGGTGGGAGGATTTTGTTGCAATAGAGCCAATGTGTTTCAAACCATTTATCTTGGCCTGTGTTAAGTGAGCTTGGCACAGGCAAAACAAGCTAGACTGACAGAACAGGTCTTGTGTGGGCAGTGGCAGTGCAGGATTCCCCAGGCTTGCCTTGCAGGGCTCAGCTCTGGGGTGAGAGGGTGGTCATTTTTCATGCCCCATTCAATACTGGCTCCCCTGAGCCAGGGCTGCCCAGAGGATTCAAGGGGCCTGGGGTCTTCGGCGGTGGGGGCCCCCCCGCCGCCGAATTGCGGCTGAAGACCCGGAGCGGAAGAAGCTCCGGGCCTCGCGAGAGTTTTCTGGGGCCCCCGGAGCGAGTGAAGGACCCCTCTCCAGGGGCCCCGAAAAACTCTCGTAGGGGCCTGGGGCAAATTGCCCCACTTGCTCCCCCCTCTGGGCGGCCCTGTCCTGAGCATGCCTTTCTCCTCTCCCCCTACATCTTGTTCGCACTGATGATATTTTGTGCAATGTCTGCTTCGGGAGCAAGCTGGCTGAGAGATCAGGTCCCAGCCCGTAAATGGTAATAGCTTTCAGTCACCAGTGAACTTGGGGGCAAAGTTGAGGTACACTGATGAAGAGGCTGGGGTATGGAGGGAAACTGGCATTATTTCCACCTACGATGTCCCTGCTGTGAAAGGATAATAGAAAAAAAAGACTCCAGGCGGTGGGGCTCTCAGTTCAGCTTCTTTCATCAGCCCGAAAGTCACTCCGAAATTGTGTCAAGTATCAGGGGGTAGCCGTGTTAGTCTGTATCCACAAAAACAACGAGGAGTCCGGTGGCACCTTAAAGATTAACAGATTTATTTGGGCATAAGTTTTCGTGGGTAAAAAACCCACTTCTTCAGATGCATGGAGTGAAAGTTACAGGTGCAGGCATTATATAATGACACATGAAGAGAAGGGAGTTACCTCACAAGTGGAGAACCAGTGTTGACAGAAATTGTAAACCCTAAAACTGTTCCCTCTGCTAGGAACCAATGGCTTCTCCTTGCAGACAGCAGCTCAGCAGGGGGTCTCCCTGTTCATTCCCATGGCCTAGCACTTAGAGAAGGGAAAGGACCCTACAGTTGAGTTCTGTTCCCAGCTCGGTCACTGACTCACTTGGTGACCTTGGCCAAATGACTTCACCCCTTTCTGCCTGGGTTTCCTCATTTGTAAAATGAAGATAAAACCCCCCTCGCAGGGGGTTGAAGCTAAAGGAAGGTTTGTAAAGTGCTTTGAGATGCTGAGAAGGTGCAGAGTATTATTACAGCTCCTCTGCATCATCTGGCCAGCAGAGGCGGCCTAGGGGGAGGGACAGCCATTTATCTCCTGTAATGTTACACACCTGGAATTCAGTTGCCCTTTAGCGGGGATGCCTCATAGCCTCTTTTTGTTTCTTTTGCCTGGAAAGGTTTTTACAGCTGCACGCATGCTAATCCCTCCCTGCGATTCTCCACCCCTAATAACAGCTCTCATGTTATCGCCACCCCAAGATAAGCACCTGTGCTAAGAGCTGATGCTTTTTGCCACGTCACAACACCCTCCTCCCAATCACATCCCTGTCCCGCCCTCCGACGGAAATAATGTTGAGCCAGGATGGCTTTGTTGGCCCCTCTGTGCGGTGGAAGGGTCCTAACAGGGCAGCCCACCAAAAAAGTGGGGGACACAAGTGGGGAAGGAGGAAGATGGGGGAAGAGGTAGTGAGATGGCAGAGTGGGAGGGATGGAGAGAGAGAGATTTAATTCTCCCTAGGAACCCAGTTAGGGAGGGCACAGAGTGCCACTAACTCGCAAGCCATTGATTCTCCCCACTCACTGCCCCTTCCTCATCTCCACACTGTCTTCTTTCTCACAGCCAAAGCCAACTGGGGCCCTCCTTCACACACACACACACACACACACACACACACACACACACACACACACACACACAAAAAAAATTGTGGGGGAGAGAACTCACCAGCACAGGACTTGGATCTCCAGATTTTGACCAGTAATATGATCATAGCCAGCAAATGGGAGACATCTCCCAGGATCCGGAATATATTCATTGCTCCAAGAACTTCCCCGAGGCAAATTAATCAGTGCAGTTTTGAAGAGGAGGGAAGGCTTGGGGAGTTCTCTTGGTTTCTCCCAAGAGATTCTCTCTGTTACCTGGTAAAACTCTGCAGTGAATCTTTTCCCTTTCCTGTCCCGGATCAGTTAAACTCTCTCTCCCAATTAAACTTTCTTTCTCTGTGGGTATGGAGTCCCCTGTTCCTGTCTCCTGGCAGACGAATTAACTCTCTCTTTCCTAGTATAAAAACTTTCTCCAGTGATATTCTTACCTCCAGAATGAACTGGTCCCCTCACTCCTCCTGGTATATTTAATCTCTGTTCTATCAGACACAATATCTACCTACTCTATGATCTGCCTACGGCCCTTTTCCTCCTGTGTGCCAGTGCAAAGTAGGGGATTGTCCCCCAGAATGTCCCTCCCAGTCTGAGCCTGCTTAGCTGTCCCAGTGCAGGCTGGGTGACGTGGCTGCTGTCTGCATGGGAAGGGCGGAGGAGGAGGCGGGAGAAACTCAGCCGAGTTATTTTCTTTCTTTCTTTTTCCCCACTTGGTCTTCTCAAATTACAACCCGAAACGTCCTTAAAGGGGAAAAGGCAGATGGAAATGATCAGCCCTTGTCAGAGGCATGGAGCCTTTAGTGATGGAAGAGATCCATTAGGTCACATCATGTTCCTACCCTGATCTGAGCAGGGCAGGTTGTTTCCTGCAGTATAGTTCCTGGGGCTTTGTTCAGTCCCGTTTTAAAGGCCTGCAGAGGCCTGATTCCCCACCTCTAACAGAGGTCGCAGGTGGGAAATATTTCTTGATATTCATGTACAATCCCCCTTTGCTCAATTTTGTCTCTTTAGTCACTTGTGGGCAGAGTGTTTAGAAAATGACAAGTGCAGTGTTACGTCCCTGGTTGTTTGTTTATTGCGTCTCATTGAAACCTCCTGATCCATTTCCCGTCCTGCTCTGGTGCTGCCGCCCCTCACAGAACCACAGGGTTAGAAGGGACCGCAAGGGTCATCTAGTCTAACTCCCTGCCAAGATGCAGGATTTGTTGTGTCTCAACCATTCGAGACTGACCGTGATCTAGCCTCCTTTTGAAAACCTCCAGTGAAGGAACTTCCACAACCGCCCCACCCCAAAGTAGGATGGGGTATGCATACCACACGACATTGAGATTTAATCTAAATCTGCTATGCTGTAGTGTGAACCCATGGCCTTTTGTCCTGCCCTCTGTGGCAAGAGAAAACAACTTTTCTCCATCTTTTTTATGGCAGCCTTTCAAGTATCTGAAGACCACTATCATATTCCCCCCCTTAATCTCCTCTTTTCCAATCTGAACATACCCAGTTCCTTCAGCCTTTGCTCATAGAGCTTGCATTCCATCCCTTTGATCATCTTTGTTGCTTGCCTCTGGGTCCTTTCCATTTGATCTACATCCTTTCTATACATTGGTGACCAAAATTGGACACAGTACTCCAGCTGAGGCCTGACCAGCACCAAGTAGAGCAGAACTATCACCTCCTGTGTCTTGCATGCTATGCCTCTGTTGATGCAACCTAAAATTGCATCTGCTTTTTTTTTTTTTGCAACAGCATCACATTGCTGACACATGTTGAGGCTGTGATCTACCACAACTCCCAGATCCTTCTCAGCAGTGCTGCTGCCAACCCAGATTTCCCCCAGTCTATATTTGTACATTTGGTCTTTCTTCCCTTGGTCCCTTGTTGAATTTCATTTTGTTGTCTAGAGCCCAGTTTTCCAATTTATTAAGATCCCTCTGAATTTTAGCAATATCCTCCAAAGTGTTGGTATCCCCCAGCATTGTGTCAGCTGCAAATTTGATCAGTATGTTCTCTATTCCGACATCCAGGTCGTTAATAAAGATGTTAAACACCAGACCCAGAACAGATCCCTATGGAACCCCACATGAGACCTCCCTCCAATCTCACATCATGTATCTGCCAGGGCGCTCCCCCCCTTTTAAATTCAGTGCATCACCCCCAAGAGGGTGGGGCCATGTGGAGTTGGGAATAAGTCAGTAAAGAAAGGGATTGTGAGGAACTCTTGCCCTTTGAATAGCTAGGAAATAATCTAAGGATGCCAGTGGGGAGCATCACAGAAGAGGTCATAGGCTCCCCTCTGCCATTTAACAGCTCTCTCCATACTCACAGAGAGAGAGCTCGAGCTCCATTTTCTTTTGTAGCTGCACGAGCATGTGCACGCACACACACAGCTCTCTCCTATATAAAAGCCCCTCCTCCAGACACGCCCAGAGCGTCCCTCTCCCAGATGCTAGCCCCTCCCACACTCAGCCGTACACAGCACTTCCCTCTCCCATACAATATAATAGCCTCTTCCCAGGTACACATCTTCCTTCAGTGTGGCAGGCATGGTCATTAGCACCAAACTGGCCTATCCAGTGGGTTGTTTAGCTTTCTCTGAGCTAAGCCAGTGATGTCCCAGCCAGGGCTGGCTCCAGGGTTTTGGCCGCCTCAAGCAGCAAAACAAAACAAAAAAAAAGCCGCGATTGTGATCTGCGGCGGCAATTCGGCGGGAGGTCCTTCGCTCTGAGCAGGAGTGAGGGACCGTCCGCCGAATTGCCACCGAATAGCTGGACGTGCTGCCCCTCTCTGAAGTGGCCGCCCCAAGCACCTGCTTGGTAAGCTGGTGCCTGGAGCCGGCCCTGGTCCCAGCACCACTGTAGTGTTGTCAGACAAGACCCCTATGACAGATATGTCAATTTCCTACATATCCTCGGGAGAGCTTATTGAATTAAGTTTGTCTCTTTGGGGTCCATTGCTTTAAATCAGTGGTTCTTAACCTGGGGAGCACGCACCCTCTGGGGGTGCGAGATGCCCTTTCTGGGGGTGCAAGACATGCCAGAATTTTTTAGAAGGTAAATCATTGAAAACACAAATTAAGCACAGGCACGTAAGTACAACTCCTTTGTTTCATCAAACCTATGTATTTATTAACATTATACATTTTTAACGATTACTGTAATATACAAACAGGTTTAAAGAACTGACCTACTTCAACGATTTTTGATAAGGGGTGCGAGAACATATTTTGAGAACCAAAGGGGTGCAGGCTGCAGTAAAGGTTAAGAACCATTGCTTTAAATGTATGGTTCATGTACAATGGTGTTCTACTCCATGGGGAAGAGCTGCCATGGCTCCTCTGGGAACTAAAACCAGTAGGTGGTAAGTAAGGCAAATCAGGGAGGTTGTAACCCCACCAGAGAGGTACCACCTCCTGGGGACCCTCACAGGTACTAGTTCAAACTGGATTCTCTAGAAACCAACAGACAAAAGATTTTGGGATAAATAGCTCACTGACTCGGGACTTACTTTCTGATCCAGCAAACGGATAGGACCTTCTGTCTGAAAGGGCATGGCCCAATCCTGGATTGGAAGGGCTGACCCTGACCAGAGCCCAAGGCTGGAGTTGGGATGACCTCTGCTAACCTTTTTAGCATCTGTGTAGGTTCTTTTATTATTGTTAATACTTTTTTCTCTGTAATGCTTCCACCTTAAGAATAAATGTGCTTGCTTAGAAGGAGCTGTGTGGTAACTTGTAACTGTGAGCAAATGTGCTTTTCATAGCCCTTGAAGAGAGAACATGATGCAGAAGCTAGCCTTTTAGGCAGTCTGGCTTGCTGGGGATTTCGCAGTGTAGGTAGGGAGCTGTGCAGCCTGGAAAAAATCATGATCAGGAGGGAGAGAGCTTCAGGTCTCTGTTCAAGAGAGATGGCAGCGGAGGAGCCAGGAGCCTAGCGTGGGTGCCCTTGGTGGACCACGGAGGGGGTGTATAGGTGCAGTTATCTGAACTATGACTACCCTACCTATGTCTTCCAGAATGAGTTCAATAGGGTTCATACCCTCCCCCATTTCTCAGTCTATCTAGTTGGTCCTCTCTTTGCCCCCCAACCTCAATTTTCCAGAAGCACAGCCAAGCATGAATAGGCAGGTTACAATCACACTTCCTTTCGCAAGATCTTGAACTGACTGGACAGACAGCCTGCATGAATGAGGCAGATGTTCAGAGATCACCAGTGCCTCCCTGAGAGGAGTCAGATGCTGTCAGCCCCTAAACACACCAGTCTGTCCTGTGCTGAAGCCACCGCCAGCAGCAGCGCAGAAGTAAGGATGGCCTGGTATGGTATTGACACCCTTACTTCTAGGTTGCTGCCTGCAGAGCTGGGCCCTCAGTCAGCAGGCGCCACTCTCTGGCCGCCCAGCTCTGAAGGCAGCAGCGCAGAAGTAGGGGTGGCATGGTATGGTGTTGCCACCCTTACTTCTGTGCTGCTGCTGGCAGGGTGCTGCCTTCAGAGCTGGGCACACGGCCAACAGCCACTACTCTCTGGCTGCCCAGCTCTGAAGGCAGAGCAGAGGTAAGGGTGGCAATACTGCAATCCCCCCTAAAATAACCTTGTGACCCCCCTCCAACTCCCTTTTGGGTCAGGACCACTAATTTGAGACATGCTGGTCTCCCCTGTGAAATCTGTGTGGTATAGAGTAAAAGCACACAAAAGACCAGCTTTCATTGTGGGGGGAGACCAGATTTCATGGTCCGTGATGCGTTTTTCATGGCTGTGAATTTGGTAGGGCCCTGATAATCTGGTCTAGTCATGGCAATGGTTAGAGAACAAAGTTAATTCTGCTAGAGCTTTTGACTGCATTTGGCAGCCCTTGTGGAGAATTACGTCTTTCCCACCCAACTGCAGGACCTGGGGGCGTAGGTTGTCCCTTTCAGACAGACCCCAGAGAGTCATGGTGCTACAGTAATACAAATAAATAATAATAATAATTAATAGCAGCTGCTCCTGTTCCCAGGAATCTATCCTCTCATTCAACACCAGTATGAAGCCACAAGGGGAAACTGTCAGAACACACTACAAACTGAGATGCCATCAGTGCCCAGCTCTGTGCCTTGTGAACAAATGTGTCCACCCTGGTTCCCCTTGAGAGGCAGTGCCTGAGAGGGGCTGGATGAAGAGTAACTGGCTAAATTCTGACTCAGGCAAGATGGAAATGATGGCATTGGAAAGGGGAAACACTGTGGATCTGGCTAAAAAGGTGACCTCATTCCTGCATTGACAGTGGCTGATCTCTGGTGAAATCATTATGGGGCTTCAGGGTCCTGCTCATCTCCACGCTTCTCCCAGATGCTCACCAATGGCAAGAAGTGCCTTGTAACACCTCTGACTAGCTGAATTGCTCTGCCTAGTCCAGTCCAATGCAGACTAGCAACAGTGACTCATGCATTGTCTCCCCCATTGTAATGCACTCCATCTTGGGCTGATGCTAAAGGCATGGGGCCTTCCTCCCATCAGACCTTCACACCCTGAGGTGGCGCCCAATTCTGGGTCCATTTCAAAGTCCTTTTTCTTAGGCCCTGTTTTCTCAATGACTGCCTCTTCACCTGCTCCGCTATGTTCTGCGGGTTCATTTTGGTTAACAGAAACCATGTTGGAGCTTGTGATGGG